CCTCTGCCACGACGGAGCCAAGGGCAAGGAGAAATCTTTCTTTAAATTGGAGATCTTTGGAATTACTAGCTATAACACGCTGACTTAATTAAGGTGGGTCTCATGTTTGTTATATCGTACGAAAATTTTGACTACATCAAAGGGTAAATATATATATTTAAAGAATCCGTTATATATGAGTTTACGCAGTCTACATTTCCCGTAAAACCGTACAATACTACATCGTCATCATTGACACATTGCCGGAAGCTGGTTTAAGTCTGTTTTACGCGTTGGATACATGTTGCAATTCACGGGCCTTACAGGGATGTACATAATACATTGCTTCAAATTCGCTCCGTATCGTGCCAAGGCAAGGAGATATGGACGACAAGTGCTACAACAATGTACAGATATTAGGGGAAAAAATGTCCAGCAGTGATTCCGGTTTTATTATCGTTCGTGTGTTTTTTAGGAAGATATTGTTACAAGAAAAGATGTGTTATCACAAACATTTAGGATAAAATGTTATATATATAACAGCTCAAAAACCTGTTTTCGCATTATCGCATAAGTTGAAAATCGAAACATGCTTAGCTTGCAGATTTTTTATTTTTTGCGTGACATCACTCGCTGACGATAAAGTCAATATGAAAAGGCCCACAATTTGGCAACGAAGCGCGTTTATTCAAAGTTTCTCATTTTGCAAAAGCCTATAAATTTTAACGTAACATAATATTCTTGTAGAATAACGATAACACACTGCTTTGATAATGACTGCTTTGGCGCCAAAAAACTCCAAACTGGAAATTCGCGTCGCTTTGCCGCATCGCGTCAGGTCTGTGTCGACCTTAAAGTGCACTAAAACTGGGCACATGAGTCCAAAATGGGTTTTTAATTTATCACCACGTAGAAATAGTATTGCCTATTGGTTATGGCTAACGTTTTATTTTGCCTGTATATATACTTACAGTTATGGCGGAATTTCAGTGTCATGTATGTCATCGGAGCTTTTCCTCGCTTGAGAGCTGTGTAAAAGATTTACATTCACACCACTCTTTCCCAAAATCGTGTGTTGTCCGCGGATGTGGACGTAGTACTTCCACCCGATTAGCAAGGCATCTTAAAAAAGCACACAGAGGATTATGTGAGCATCCCTGTGGCAATTGCTCAAGAGTCTTCGTTTGCGCAATCGACTTGAAGCAGCACTCAGACGCTCTACATTCCGGAAGAGTAAACACGAGTTACGCGATAAATCACCAGGCCGTCCATGACATTGCGACAGGTAAAACAAACAATTTCTTTATTCCCATTTACAACCGTTTAACTCTTTTCTGACTGCCGTTAGTAGTTATTTATTGGTTCCAATTCGAACTATGGATATTCTTGTCTCTATGACAAAACCTGGGGGCAAATAAGATCATGTTAAATTATCACGCGCGGTAGTGTGTTTTCTCGGAGCATTTCAAACTCTTAAAATATCTAGCTATCAAGCTATCAACGTTCTGTACCTATTTATTGAATATTGAGTTGTTTTGGACGTCTTTCTTTTCAGGTTTCTCATCGCTATTTCTACGTCATTCTGGTAAGTGTTATAATAGGGTGGGTGTTCTATAGCTATATCAAATTCCTTAGCAATTTGGTGTACATTTCCACCGCACAACCTCACAAATTTAGTATTTTTGCTATAGAAAGTGCTTAAAAATTTATGTATTTTCAAGCGCCTACGACGGCAGTAGATTTTCGTAGCCCTACAACAGAAACAAGCCTCAACAGATTCATTGATGCAAACCTGCAACCAACCGAAGCATTCAACCAGGAAATGCATACCGACGTCGAGAAGGTGTGCAGTTTTTTACGGCGACACATGAGACCCCACGAAATTGTAAAGGTACTTATGCAACAAATCAATGGTATGCATGCAGTTGGTACAAGCTGAAGCAAACCGCTATCATGTATCGCAATATATATTAACATGACTTTTTATGATGTAATACAGTATAAGACCCAGTGTGCTTGTGTATTGATTTTAAAGAGAATGCATGTTGATGTCATTCATGATAAAAACCATGCAATTCTGCGCAAATCTTTAAAGCGTGCATACTCAATGTGATGATGTATCGCTATGTTTCCGTTTACTATGGTATTACTTCCCCCATGCACTTGGATATATTTTAACGAATTTATATCCTCTCATCTTCAATGAATGCAAGACATTTATTCTACTTTGATATCTAGGGGGGGTCATTAGGCAAAGGAACAGCCGTAAAAGGAAATTCTGACATCGATCTTGTTATGATTTTAAATGATGTGAGAGATGCAGAAGATCTCAAAAGGCAACTACCTGGGATTAAAAATGATGTTAAAGAAAAGTTGAGACATCTTCCAAGAAGCTTTACCATTAACTCCTTAACAGACACAACTTTCTCAGTAAAGTTTTCTGTCGAAGGAAAACATGGAGATATAGATGTGGACCTCTTGCCAGCGTTTAAGTTTGAAGGTACATTAGGTAGATACGATCCTGACATTGTATTCAATCATCTCAGTTAAATTAGATGCGCCGCCGACGTACGTTTAAAGCGCACATTATTTGAAGATTTAGATTTTTGTATAATATGAGCATGTATATATAAATGCACGCCTAACTAACCGTTTTAATTGTTCTATCCTGATTTTAGATCTCGGAAGTCTCTATGAACGTATGAGAGATGATTTGTATCACGCTGAATACTACAGCGCAGCATTAGCTAAACAGCAGGTATAATAAATAGTTGTAATTACTTCATTACTTTCCCCCCTTGCGCATCCCCGACTTGCGCTTTAGACTAATTTCTTATCTCGGGAATTTTCTAAAAAAGGGAATTTTCTGAAAAAGTTTACCAAAATTAGTAAAACTGCCAAGCTTGGCTGCGAATTGTTGTAAATTACAGAAAATATAGCCATGCGAAGTTGTCGAATTTTGTATACTTTTGTATTACATGCAGCCGGAAGTTTGTAACTAAATTAGTTACACAATTCACACGTAATACAAATGTATATACAAAATATGCCAACTTCGCATGGCTATATTTTCTGTTTTTTACCGAATTTTCGCAGCCAAACTTTGCATTTGCACTAATTCAAGCATGCTCTTTCTAGCTGTGGTGATTTAGTTTCTTCTTAATACTTCGATCAAAAAATAGTCTAAAGCGCAAGTCGTCCATTGTTCACTCGAGGAACATGGAGAATTTCCTTTTAGATCAATGAAAAAATTTATTTAAATTTTCAGTAACGTAACCAGAATGAATAAATATTGACTTAAATGAAGCATCGAAAATTTAGGCATTCCAATTGGCTTAGCTTGAAGGACGTCAACAAGTTTGCTGGGTATAGCATTAAAACGAAATTCCTCCTTGTTTACTGTAGGCATGCACGGATATCATGAATAAAATATTGAAAATAGAATTCCAATTTTTGGAAATATTTAGGTTGACTTTGTGGAAGGGTATCCAGCCAATGTAAAGAACTTAATTCGCTTGGTCAAGCACTGGAAAAAGAAAATGGTTCGGCCATCGTCGCCTCGCAGACGGATCCCGAATTCGTATCTCATGGAACTGATCACGATACATCTTTGGAAACAAAATAAAGGATATGATGGTACATTTAATACGTTGAAGGCGTTCCATGGAGTTATGGAAGCACTTAAGGAATATCGATCTCTGAATGTTACTTGGACAACGAATTATTCTACTAGTCAAATACCAAGCGAAATTCGACGCCAAAGGTATGGCCATTTTTTATTTATAAAACGAACAGTTATGTGAAGACATTAGCATGAAAAGTATTACTCGTAATACAATAGACCTTTCTTATAATGACGTCAAACGCGGAAAGTCAGATGTTACAATCAAACTTCGTGCTTCATACTTTCAAAAACATCATACTTTCATACTTTCATACATCATACTTTTAAAAATCATACTTTCCGCTTTTGACGTCATTATGAAAAAGGTCTATAGTAAAGCGTATACGGATACGAAATGAGCTATGCCTATTAGCGCGGAATTTGTAGTGATAGAGTAGATCGCGCCTATTACGTAAACATATTATATACTTATTGCTTTACAACCATTAAGGAGCAGCGTGGCAGCGTCTTCAAACAACTTAGCATCAAATGGGGTATAACAACTGCCTAAATAGACAAAATACTTCTCGACGTTTCGACCTGAGGGCCTTCGTCAGGAGAGTTAGTACGAACTCTCCTGACGAAGGCCCTCAAGTCGAAACGTCGAGAAGTGTTTTGTCTACTTATTGCTTTAGCTTGTATTTCAGTTGTAAGCTAATCAGGGTTCGATAATGTGTTGATATTAACCCATCATCATGCTGTGCAAAATAGTATATTTTTCAAGTCAAGGGCGGGGGTTTATTTTTATATGCATATATTTGTGTTCATACACTATAAAGCGTCACTAATTTTCAGACCTTTGGTAATGGACCCTGCTAATCCAACGAATAACGTTTGCGCAACATTTGATTGGGATGAAATCAAAGAAGAGGCAGGAAGAGTCCTTGCCAGCCCAATGATGCTCGGTATTTCTTCAACGAATTGGAATTAAGAAATGAGATGAATTAGGAAGAAGAGAAGAATTGAGAAGAATTAAGAAATGATGAGATCAGCTGTTTAAATAATCTTTTACGCACAAATTTTATTCTAATGTTGTATTACGTACAGTATATGTTAAGTCAATGTGCTTCTGTACCAGTGTTCGTTTTAAAACTTTAGAAAATGTAATTTCAATCAGTCAAGAAAAAATTAAGGTATTCAACTTTGCAAACAAACGATTAAAAAAATAAGTGTCAAGTCCGCTTTATCTCAGGGTTAGGTTTACGGTAACAACTGGCCTCAGAAGACTATGTTTGCTGTATTTGTAAATGCACTAAACATGCACAAACGCCTTAAGCGCGCACACAAACGCAATTGATATTGTAAATAGGTAAACATCACGCAAACATGTAGAATCAAAGTAACCTTTTTCTTCCAAATAAATTGTTCTTAATGTGGATGTTCTGCGCATATTTTCTGCTTATAAACAGCTAAGAAACATTCCAAAACTGATTCCTCCACCCGTTGAAATTATATGTCATGTCGTGATGTCTAGATCACCGTTTGCATTATCTTTAAACTATCATAGCATAAAAACTGAGAAAAAGCTGAACAGTATCAAATTAGTTTGAAACATTGAAGGTTTCGTCCAATTATAAACGTTTTGGATAATATAAAAATAATTATTAGTTATTTCAGACCTATAGTGAGTATTTGCTGTAAATATAAATGTAATGCTGTGATTTTTAACCGAGAACAGAAGTGTTTAATCCTTTTAGCCTAATCCTGGCTAATACAACGCGCCCAGATAGCAAACATTTGCTAAGTGGGTAATCAGTGATCCTAAACAACGCGGATTTAATCATTGAGACTAGGTTAGGATTAGAATTAGGATTAGATCTTAGATTGGGATTATATATACTTGATCAAGGATAACCCTAATTATAAATCTTATCCTGATCCTAAAATAATTTCAAGAAATAAATTCATGTATTAAGGATTTTAAAAACATGGAATTATTAGCCAGTTATTCGCTTCAGTTTCTACAGAGTCCACTGCTTCACTTCAAACCAGTGATAAACACGTTTATTTAGCTATTACATCAGTACATAGCTGCTGCAATCTAAAAAACTTAGCTATATTATTTTACTTATGCTTACACATTAGGTGAGTGTATAATATAAAAAAAACAGAAAAAATCCTATCGTCGTCGTAGTTAAACACCGACAAAAAAGGTTTTATGAACGAAACTTGGTCCCTGGTGTCGATGGTGTTGATCCTGTGTAAAAAATGTAATCATTGAATCAATTACTAGAGGATAAAAACGTTTGTGGAAAAACCATGATTTATGGCTCGTAGTAGTCGCATTGTCGTATAAAGTCACAAATAACTGGTTATTTTATTATAACTGCAATCTTTGCTGAAAACTATGAGAATAACTCGAGATACAATGTATCTCGCATTTTACATGCATAAATGCGTCTCTTGAGTTCAATATTAAACCAACAATAATATCCCTGTATGTTGACAAGCAAACTAAACGTTGAAATAGATCAAGAGAGAGAAGGATTAACGACATTTGCACATAAAAATCGCGCAACTGAGAACAAAAGCTGGAAAATAATGAGTATTGTTTGTCAATTGGATTTAGAAATGGCGGCCAAGTATATTTTGAAGGTGACCATGGCACAGATATATACCTGTGTCACAATGCTGTTTTTCCCGGGTCCGGACCAGCCAATGAATGCAAAAGAGGAACGATACTCGTGTTTGATTAGATTTCGTGCACCCAATCTCCATAAGGCCGTGTACACTGAACGTGTTACTCTTTTCGAAGCTTCATCTTGTATCGCAACCAAAACAATGCGCCTTTAAAATTGAATTGACGAACATTAATTTTACGATTTTCAAACTCCTTTCTAAGCTTTTCATGCTAACAAGTTAACAACATCAATAGACTTTTTTGGAAGACGCGTGAAAATTTGTTATTCCAAAGCTTAAGATATAATTTATATAAACCCAGCTAAGTTAACAGTATTCAACACGTCTGAATATTCTTTTTAGCTATTACACTAGAGAGAGCTACTATTTAACAATTAGACAACGAGTCCGAGTTGTCTATGAGTGAATAGTCAACGAAGGCGAAACCTGAGTTGACTATTCGCTCATACTCATAGACAACGTAGGCGAGTTGTCTATATATATAAATTGTTTTAGTATACACCCTGTACCTAGATTATATCAATTTCGAGACAATAATCGGTACACCGCAATTACACCGAAAAATAATTTAATTAATTCAATTTTATACAGTCGTGCGAGCAAATCAGTTTCCCAACGTTCACCATCACGAATAGAAAATGGTCGAGTAGCCAATCAGAATGTAGGATTTGTAATAGACAATAGTCGGGTGTATACTAAATATCATTATTGTTAGCTTGAAATTCTATAGTTTTTCATGTAATTTCGACCTAGATTCAATTTGTGGATATATTATCAAAACTGCAAAAAGTGAGTTGACCAGTGGAGTACTTTATCACACGGGTTTGTATGTTAATTTCAATAAAGTTTAAATCACACAATTTACAGGTATATATATTATAAAGGTTTATTTTCGTTTCCAAACATGATGGGGACATGAAACATAGGAATCTTGCCCTCTCTCAGGTATATTTGGGACGATAGCTTTTATAGCTTTTCCTGAACCTTTCAGTACTGCCAACAGATATGATTACACCCTTGGCTATGCAGCCTTCATGCGATGATAAATTACATACCTGCTCGCTATGTTGTTTAAGAACGTCGAAAAGTAGTGACCTGCGTGAGCTGATGCATGTGTATCATACGATGCCCTGCTTTCAACATTACCTAAGAAATAGCGAAGCTATGATTTGGGAACCTTTCGACATTAAATAAAACGCCCGTTCTAAACTTCCAGGTGTTGTATCAACACTAAAAAACTGTGTTATTTCATCAAAAAAGGTGTGTTCACACGATCTTGCTATTAATATATTCTTGTTTAGGGATTAATATATGTAAAAAATAATGTATAACTTATACAGGAAATTTGCTGACTGCTAGCTATAGTCTAGAAATAGATAACTGACTATTTCTCGATGTACAGAGGATAGAAAAATTTTAGAAAACCAGTTGTTCAGAAAATAACAATGAACTTCGTTAACAAACTCTTATCATACCAGTTACTGGATTCAATACAACAACGTTGTAACCCCTTTTTCTCATTGCGTAATCTTTTCCATCAACTTCAATCGTTGCATATCCTGCACCCCCTCGTCTACCTCCGTCATCAAAACCGTCACTTCTTATCCAAATCGTTTTGAGACCTAGTTGCAAATTTTAAGAATGAAACCTATGGAATGAAATAATTTTTAAGTAGCATTTCCATATTAATTCGAAAAGACACATTTTACAACAAGTTATTTTGTAAGTTATAAAGAGAAAAGATTATGTATATAGTTATGGTTTAAAACGTATACAAACAATTCACCGTTTTGAAGTTTTGATAATTTGTTCACAATGTTCGTTAATTGGCTTTGAACTTGATTAACTTTGTTCTTGTTCCAGTTGATAGCATTTCGGTTATTGCTGATTTTTTGTTCGTTTTTTCGGACCTGAATAAGTAAAACAATTGTTTAAAAGACGCGCAAAAATCTCGGTAACCATTGAAACAAGGTCAATTCGCTTCCTATGAATACTGTATATACATGTTTAATAAATTAAATGTTAATGTAAAATGCTAAGTAAACACTTTCAAAACGTCATTTTCAAATTATATCTCGAAGAGAACATCAGACACTGCATAAAAATTAATTAGATTGATTAACCCGTTTACCCACCCCTAAATTTTCTTTTTACCATACATCTTTCATTTGTTCACCCTAATTTCAATGGAATATATCGCAAAGCTTATACTGTGCACTCACCTCCGTCATTGAAGGTATTTCGAACCATCGAGATGATTTGGCATGTATGAAGAGTTTTCCATTCGTAACTCGAAACCGAAGCAGACCACGTTTTTCAGGAAGACGATCGTTTAGTTTATCATTAGAAACAGCAGAAACCTGTATACGATGAAGTCGTCAAAATGATTAGAACACCCTTAATTGCATGGTAGATTTTATTAATTGTATCGTGCCTTTCACTAAACCCAATCACTTGCAGTATTGTATGCTACTAGCACGTATTTGATCATGAATCCGCATAGCATGGACGATGGGATTATCATTTATAAACACAAACAGTATACACACTCCCGTCCGGTATTAATGAATCCAGACAATATTGTCGGGGGATGCTAAACACTCCGGAATACTGCCAAACGATAGCGTTTGAAAAGATCATTTAAATAGTATATTCAAACCAGCAGATATAGTTATAAGCTGCATCTGTATTATAAGTCAAAGCAAGAGTCAAAATAATAGGTTGCTTTGTTATCTCAAATTACACACCCATAGCAACCATATACTTTAGAAATTCTGTATTTTTTCACTTTTTTGGGGGTAGGATGAGCAAAAGAATAGGAGAAATACGTTTTTTAAGCGATAAGCGCGTGCTTACGTATACTGCGTTCTTGGAATGTTGTCATGCGGTTGGAAAATGTGACAAAACTCTATGATGCCCCTCCCCCTAGGGTAAATTTGATCGAAAACGTAAAATTGGACCAAGGGGTAAGTTTTTCGGCTTTTTTTGCCCGAAATTTTTTTCGATATCTTTATCATTGTGAAAGATTATTGCCCGTGTCGGGCGGTGATGCGATAATTTATATCATCGCGCAATATAAAAAATCGGCAAGAATATTCTGAAGGCTAGATTCTGACACTACAGATATCTAAATATTCCTGAAAATGTGAAATAAATCACTGTAACCGTTTTCGTTTGCATTTTGGGCAATATTTTATAGGCCGCTTTGATGTGTAATATAGAATAATAAATTAGACTATACGTTTACAATACTCCGGATCGGTCTGAAAACGGTGCAAAAAAGTATTAAAAAGGGGGTTGGGTTACACAGCACCGGAGCGGATTTGTTCGAAAACGTCACCTTTGCCGTAGCGACACGACCACACTTTCTAAACGTGGTCGAACGAAAACGGAGCGCTACGTGGCGTTGTGTAAACACTACCTTGTTAATATTTCGCTACACTTTAGATACCACTCCGCCACAATGCGTGGCGCGTTGATGCCGTAATTGAATATAGCGAACAATTTTCCGACAATTTATCAACAAGCCCTTTCTCGCTATCAGCGGTATTATTTTCATTGTTTTTGCGACCCACGACTACAGATATAAACGTCAAGCAATGTTTCAAAAACAAATGGCGCAATTTTCCGCGAACAACTTACGAATGTTGACAGCGAAGAACGCTTGTGTGTAAACGCTAACGAAACTGTATCGGAATTCAAACGGAGCAGTGTAAACGCAGTCAAATTCTGCCGTCACTTTCTCGCTCCGGAGCTGTGTAAACGTAGTCTTAAATCGCATGCATTTTAATCAATATCATAGCGAATTGGCAACATATCAATTTAAAAAATAAATGTATCTACTGAGGGCAATTTCCTCTTTAAAATGGTTCAATTTTTTTTAAATCGGTCAAGTATTCGCACAGGAATCGCAAGTTAAAATGAGCTAACCACTTTGAGATGCCATCTAAACGGACGAGAATGATATTACAGTACATTATAGGTAACGACTTACCGTATAAGACGTATGCAGTGAAACAGCGATAAAAACGCCGTAAAACACATGAACAATGTGCATATTCGATATTTCTTGACGAACAAATATCAACCTCTTGCCCAGCGAATACAACGTTGTGGAATGGCATTGAACAATTGTTGTTGCTGGTTATTATGTGCGCTATAAAAACTAAATTACTCCGAATTCGGCATCCGTTTCAGCAATATGCTGGCGTTCAAATCGCGTATTTGACATGACATACGAATTATTTTGCACAATTGATGTTTGCAATTTTGATGCCGTATTAATTAAGTAGACGTTTTTAAACATCAGCAATCATACAGCATAACTTTATCTTTAAGTGCATGGGATATCGAGAAAGTGTAGCTTGACACTTATATTACGATAAGAGCGAAAAGCGAAGGCATTGTTAAACTAATTAATTCAACACTCTGCCAGAATACTTAATTTGCTTTGAGTAAGAACAGCAATTTTCTCAACAGTTTATTATTTGAAGGTAACATTATTCCGCTTAAAGTTAATATCTTCCATCATTCAACTCTAGACGAATGATGATACTCTGCCGAGTCACAAACTTGCAAATTTGGTGTAATATTAAAGTCGGTATTGTTAAAAAGCATTGTGTTAACAATAATATTATCTATCGAAATCTATCGACCAAATTCAATTATAAAATAACTTGTATATAACGCGTGTTCTGATTGGTTGAAGCCCGTGTTTGGATCAGGCCATCCAAACACGGAAACCATTAAGTAATTATTAAATATTGCATGCGACCTTTGATTCCAGATATTATAAATATAACTATGATATAAGTCAAAGTTGTTTACGGGGATCAAAATTAAAAAGAATTAAAAACTTTAAAATAAAAACTTTAATAAAATTTATCAAACGTTTTCATAAGGCTTTTAAGATCAAAATAGAATTTTTAATAAAAAAAATTCTTAATAAAATTTAAAAACACAAATGTGCCAGACTTCCGTTTTAGTACAGTTCACAATAACTTTGTTATGGAAGACTTATGTTTATGCGGGAGTTTGCAGAGTATTAAGAACTCGTTAAAAGAAATTCCTCTCCACCAAAGGAACAAATATTAAGTTTTGTGGTATTTTGCAATTAACGATTTAGGAATACAAACTGAATCAATAGTTGCGCATTGGTCTTGTCTTTGGCTTCGGGCTTTAAATTTTATGCTTCAACGAATACAATCGCTCGTAGCCGTAAAAGCAACAAATGAAACGGCAAACGCCAAATCTTAATGCGATCCCGCCGTGCACTGCTCTGACCATATATATTTATATGAAAAAAGTTGCTCAAATGGCAAACGTGAGTTTCATGTACAAAAATCGTGGTACAATGCGAAGTGCAGCTGAGGATAAATTACTTGTTTCACATGGCCCTAGCTACAAGTACATGAATGCTGCTGAATTTTCCAGTCACGATACTCTGGGGTATTATATCACAGATCTTGTTTTCGATGAAACTGCAAATTCGTAAACAGAGTTTTTTTTTAATGTGGTTAAACTTCGGGGCAATATTTATGATAAACAGAGTGTTTAAACTTGCGGTACAATATTTATAATTATGACACGAGACTAACACCTCGAATTTTTCCCCTACACGCGTAAAAACGCTCAGGTTGATGCAAGTTGATATAAACAGGATGGAGCAATGTTGTGCTGCCCACATTGTTCAGAGTTGTTATCAATATTGAACAATATTGTTACACCCGATTCAGTTTCAACAATATTGTTCAATGACAATGTTGATAACAACTCGGAACAATGTGGGCAGCACATCATTGCTCCATCCTGTTTATATCAACTTGCATCAACCTGAGCGTTTTTACGCGTGTACATGGACGTCATAAACCATCAACTACTTCCAACATATATTTCAAGCTTGAAAATGGATGTCATCGGACGGAGAACGACTTTTTATTGCAATTTTTTGTTCAAAAACACACGTTTCACTCCTTGACGCTCTCCTTAGTCCTTTGCAAAGTGTTTTCTTGTGCGCGGTTCCCGCCTTAATCAGCGATTCAGATTCATGAGACTTCATGATTGAATCACTGGATTGAAGTTATCAGTCCAGTTCTTTTTAGAGCTCACTGGACGAAACCACTGAGCTCTATATGGCCAAATCAGTCATGATGCGTTTTCCAATATGGCGGCTTAAAAAGAACACATTACTTCCATTAAATCAATTATATATTCGCTTGCTGGGACTTTCAGCTCGTCATATGAGTATGGACTATGCTGTAATTCACGATGAAAAAAATAAAGAGTTTTATATCGACTTAGTACCAGGTAAATTAATTAATTGATCACTAAAGTTATGTAAAGTCTGCTGTCGCTGTGTCTAAGTGTCTTTGCCTTGTGCACTGTGTTGCAGTATTCTGATTTAAAAATTTGCAGTCAGTGTTACACAGAGATGTGTTTGTGTTTATTACACTCCAGGGCTACTTTGTATTGTACTGCATGTCATTCATGCATCATGCATGTTTATTTCTAGAGAAAGCAGTTCTTCAGTATCAACTTATTCATGAAGAACCAAAGATCATAGATATGTATCATACTGGTGTGCCTGAAAGCCAAAGGGGCAAAGGAATTGCTGGTAACTTGGTTAAGGTAACACACAACTACATACCTATGCAGTTGAACAGATATGTATGTATATATTAGTATATTTGTTCACCTCAGCTGAATGCATGCATGTACACTGCACAAACAGTTTATATAGTTCTTACACACTTGCTAACCAGTAGCTAAACAGCTTGCCATTCACTTTGTTGGGTATCATCTCACATGACACTCAAGCTTATGGTGTAATTATATACAGGTCAATGGATGGCAAACAGCAATTTATAAGACCATTTCCTTGCATTTATATTTTAACTTAGACTCTACCCCAATTATTCGTATATTTTTCATGCATGCTATGAGATGCATGCTATCCTAATTTTAATATTCTTTTCCAGGCTGCATTCTCATTTGTGGTTGCTAATAATCTGAGAGTTCGTCCAACATGTACATATGTTCAACATTATATCGACAAAAATAAACCTACAGAAATTATGCAAAGACTTGAAAAATAATACATAAACTTTCCTAGTTAGACCAATAAATATAATTTACTGAAAATTTGTGATTGAATGATTTGAAGTATTGTATTCTAGTGATTTGTATTTATGTATATTAATTAAACTATTTCATTAAAAATATATTTTTATGTATTATATTTACCGTATATATTTGAGGAGAGGAAAGATTTTTGTATGTATACATATGTATACATAATAATAATAGAATATTTCAATTCAGACATATTAGTATACTGTGTTATAACTATAGATAGATATATGAAGGTGTGTCTACATTTCTTGTCCAGCTTTGATAAACATTTTAATATGTCAATTCTGTTTTTTTTTTGTAAACAATCAGTTTTTCCTATACGCAAAGAAGTCGTCTATACTAAATCTTGAATTCATGAGCTCAACAAATCAAACAAAAATTTTCCTCAATGATCATAGGGTTTTTTAAATTATTGCTGGCATGCATTTTAACACATGTTATGAAATATCTTCGGCAGACTTGATTCCAAGTTAAGAGATACTTTACAACACCATTTACAGTGTAATGTTTACACTTACAGTAATAGTTCTTACCTTTTTCTTTTCTTTGTCCTCATTATAACGAAAGTTAACGATACTTTATTGAAGCAGATCCTTCGAGTTATTCATCGTATAAGCTAGTTCAAACTTCACGCGCTTTTCCAAACATCCGGCGGAAGTGTTTTGGTCACTCGATCGATACAAGATGGCGAAGAATGTGACAATTCAACTTTTCATTACTGAAAGTACACATATACAGTAATCATTTCTCCTTTCCGATCATAAAAACTCAAATTAATTTGTGATACATTAACCTTGCTTGACAAACTCATGACATCGGGTAGGTAGGCCTTATTTGTGAATTGTGATTTGGTTTTTATGTTCCAAATCTCATGTGCTGCTGGAAATAGTCCCCATATTGATAGTGACTGTCTTATAAGTCAACAAATAAACTAGGGCGGTCTCTAAGGCTAGGGGGGGGGGGTGGCTGGAAATGCTGAACAGGGAGGTTGCAGGAGGTGGGGGGAGGTTGCAGGAGGTGGGGGGAGGTTGCAGGAGGTGGTTATAGAAGACAGTGGCTCAAGTTATAGGCCTTCAATGTTATTATGCATACCAACCTCGTAGTCTCGTACCCAGGGTCTTTAGTCTTTACTCTAATGCATACCTGTTTTGCATCAGCGCTATCACTTTAAGACACACAGATATGCATGGAGGGGACTATAGATATCAATTGAGTTTTGAAATATAACATACATAAACCACCTTGACCTAGTAGCTCAGTTTGTAAATATAAAATAATATAACAGCAAAGCAAAGCATGACTGTTGACCCCCATAGCTATCAACTGTAAAGTGTGCCTGCCTGATAATGTTGGCCATATTTAATTGATTATATCGGAGGGCTAATTCTACTTCAGGATTATACTAATCATATAATTCATATTTGATTTGGTGATTCATTACAGTTCATTACACTTTGTTTGCAAACTGTTTTTCTTTCTGGTTTTAATTTCAAGCTATAACAAGATCATTCAAACAATTGTCCACTTTCTACAAAGTTCCCAGTCGAATTTACTGTTTTTCAAGGACTGAGGTGTGTGTAAGTTAATAGCAATGCATATGCTGAATTGCCAGGCAGCAGTGTGGCAAAAGCCACAAAACAAACAATAGCCTAATTTTGTATAATATAATATTATACACATCAATAGTAACTTCAGGCATAAACACTTTTATAATTCTAATTTGAAATTTCTTATTTTATGTTCTATACGAGTTGAAAATTACAAATATTTTTAGATGAATAGACCAGTTGAAAGGGCAATCACAAACAAATTACAAAGTGAATTGAATGTAAGTCATCTCTTCATCAAGTATTCAACTATGAATATATTCATGGTATATACTCAAATGCAAGCAGGGGAGGATCCAGCACTAGTGCACTAATTTGCATGACAAAAGAAAACTGCTCAAAATAGCCATTTTCTTTTGTGATGCAAAT